TGCGGTGTTTTTGATTACTTTTCTAAATATTAGATCCGATTTGAATGCAATTTCCGATTCATTTGCCACTGAATTATCCAAAGTTTCCTATTTGTTAACATTAAAACAATATTATTTATTAGATTTAAATAGTTTATAAACTAACCATGTTTGAAGGCGATATAGTTATTTGATTAATAGTATTTGTTATACAATAGTTATCTATTGACATTATGGTAATTCTTAATTGGACAATATAATCTATAATAATCAAACAATAATTGATATATTAAAATAATTAATTAAATGTCATATGTAATCTTTATATTATACTGTGGTTTATTTTAGTAATTAATAGTTAATTATTTAGTAATTATTTAAACAATACCAATGATTAAATATTGGAAAAATTTATAAATATCAATATTAATTGTTGCAAAAATTAAAGTCTATATTAGTGTTTGTCGATTAACCGTTTACAACACTTAAATGTTAATTTTTAAGTATTTGGCCAACAATTGTCTTTCAATTTAATACTTTTTCCAATGTCTAAAATGACCTTTATCACTTACTATTAAAGATGCCTGTATTGGCGTTTACAATATAACCATGGTTGTGTTGGTCAAAGGAAAATATGTTATTTCCGCCTGTGAATAAGATTGGTATTTGTAAATGTTATATGTACATAATACTGTGCTTTATTTTAGTAATTATTTAAACTCCTGAACGGCAACATGATTTTAGGTTAGCCAGATTCAAATTCACAGTGTACCATAAATAGAACGATCCTATAAACCACATTATTCCTATGCATAGTGTTAATGTATAGACTGTGCCCCTGCAAGTGTGCATCCGCTCAGCACACCCTATACATTAACACTATGCATCTCAAGTGTTCAAACGCCTCCCACACCTCCCCGCATGAGTTACAGCAAAAAATATTGCGATTAAATTATTTTTTATGCTCTACTCTATTAGAATAGACACAATTCATCAAAATATCGTTATTTCATTAAAAGTACTCTACTTGTAAGTAGCACTTATTTTAAACACAGTATATATTAAATGTCATAAATAATTAATTTATTAATGATAAATTATATTTGACCAACATTAGTCTATCATGTTTAACAAATACAACAATTAACTTTAATACCTTTTTCCAATGTATAAAATGACCTTTATCACTTACTATTAAAGATGTATGTATAGGGGTTTACAATAACAACGTCGTAGAGATTGTCAACGGAATTTATTTTATTGCCACCTTTGAATAAGATTGGTATTTTCACTCCAACCTTATTAACAATAAATATGCCATGAGAATAATGGCCATTGCGTTGAAAGGTGACCATGGCCCAATCGGACATCACACCATACCCTTTATTAACCAATAACGTAAACAAGGATTGTTGTGGCCCTACATCTTCAGCATATGAATAGTGTATAAATTACAACACAAGGGTTTTATGCTGGGTGTACTGAGGTGTAAATTCTGCCTGCTTATAATATAAACATTATTTAATTAACAAAAAGAATAACATATGAAATTCATGGAAAAAATTTTGAAAATGTGAATTAAATATTTTACTTGTAATTATAAATGAAAATATTAACATGTATATTAAAATATATTATATTGATAGTTAACTTTTGTTTACATATTGGATTTTAATTGGATGACTTAGTTGTAAAATAGTACATACATCCATGTTGGCACAGCCGTCATCGGCAGTGTGTTTATCATACGCCCGACGGTCGCAATCGTGTACAGTAAACATCGTGTGCTGTAACGGAGCGCACGACTGGCCGCCCACACCTCCACTCCCATAGTAGGGGTGCTGATGGGGCTGAACTTTGTTGACTATGTTGAAATTTGTATGCTTTTAATTGTAATAAATTATTATAATTAATATTACAATTAATGAAAATTTATTACATTTGTAAGAATTTATTACAAAAACTTGTTACTAATTATAAAAATATTTATTTTAAAAATATTTATTAAATAAAATTATAAAAAGTATTGACGACAAGATTAAAACATTTTTATAAACAAATAATAAGTTTATATTTATAATAAATATTCTGCTAACGAACACATTGATCATGTGGTGCACGATATGAGCGCCCAGAATAAACTGAACTTGGTTATCAGACTAATAAATAATTTATTAAAATATTTTGTAAAGCATTTTTACTGCATACTTATTGTAACCACATTTCACAAGACATCCGCAATAAAAATGGTTGTCATTAATTCATGCAATAAAATTATCATGATTAAAATAAACATTATTTAATTTAATAGAAAAATCAAGCATGCTTATTATAAGACAAGGAAGAGAGTTGGAAGAGTTGTTTGAGTGCTAAGTGATTTTGACAAAATAACCATGGAACTTTGTAGCCATGGAATATTTTCTTATAAATCTAGCTAAAAATATGTATTATAATTAGTGTTCACCGAAATATGGTTTTATTATTTTTGTAAATTTAGTGTGTTTTATATGGTTTTATTATTTGTAAGAAAAAACTGGTGTTATATGGTGGTTTATCAATATTTTTTTTAAATATGGTTTTATATGGTTTAATAATATTTTATTTCGATCATATAAACCACATTATTCATAGCTGAATTGTGGTTAAAATCCATTCATTTGAAGTGTTTATTCTTTTCGGCATTTTATTTGCCAAAAACAATTAAATGTACAAAACTATTAACAAATGGATAAATAATTTTAAAAACACGCACAAAAACATGTAATATTTGGTCACATTATACACATTAATGACAACCAAAACTTGGATTTATATGGTTTTATTAATAAAACCATGTTCTATTATTTTAAAATTTAGTGTGTTTTATATGGTTTTACATGTTTTAACAGATACACTCCAAATCATAACTATTTAACCGCTGGATTTCATGTAAATCAATTAAAATTATTTACCCAAAACTTAAATTGATAGCAAATTAACAAAATTATGGTCTAATTCTTTAGTATTTGCAAGTAAATGATTGCAATGATTAAATAAAATTACTTTGTAATAAAGTTTGATTGTATTTTAGACAGATTATTATAATAACTTTTACATTATTTAGTGTTAGGTCTATGGGAAATGTTGGTAATTGTTTGGTCTAAAAATACTTAACTCTTAGAAAACTCAGTATTATTATACCATCATTTTATAGTACACACAGAATGCATTAATTTGATATGCTACACATCTCATTTAACCTCTAGAAATGGCAGCAATTATGTAAAAAAATTGCCAAAAATGCCAAATTTTCAAAAATGAAAAAATATTAAAGCTCACAGCTAGACATTATAAAATAATTTTGAACCCCTTTTTAAAATAAGCTTTAAAAATGTATCATTTATTTCCGTACCTCTTATAGAAGTCCTGTTAAATCAATTTACTTTTTATGACCACTTTTTATGTTAGGTAATTGTGGCTAAGTTTTAAAGTCAAATGGGTCGTGTAGCATATCAAATTTATTATTTTGTAATTTAGAACAGAATGGTGTTTTAATAATTCTAATTTTTCTACAGACAAAAAAAATTTTCGGGACTTTTTCTAAATTGTCTAAAAATCCGATCTTTGATCATTATTTTAAAAATACTTAAATGCGATTAATAACTGGATAATTAAAATATATAACAGTGAAAAGTATAGTAACCTAACTTAAGCAGTTTCGCTGTACTAATGACAAACGTCTGGGTAAATACTTATGATTTGGAGTGTAACTGTGAACCCCAATTATAATTATCAGAAATTTCACAGTAAATGGGATTATATATAGGAATGGCATTAAGTATTTGTTGCTTAACATCTTGGGTACAGTTGATGTCAAAAGCGTCACTATATCTGTGATAATTGGTGTAAAATGACTGAAATAAGTGGTCCTCTTCTTTCATACGGCTGTATAACCGGTGCCACTCTTGCGGTGCCATCGATGACATATTGTAGGCCTGTTTCGCGGTATACCCGACCGTCCAGACGGGCGCCACGAGTGAGTGTATGTTAGAGTAGGTTAGGTTTGTGTAGTAGTTTTGATGATCCAAAATAGTTCCCTATTATAACAATTAATATATTATAGAGTTTATCAAAATAATAGAAATAAATTAAAATTACAAAAATAAATAAATAAGTAGAGAGAGAGAGAGAGACTTATAAAATTATATTTTAATGAGATTATTTAATACTCACCGCCGAGTCAACGGTGTAAAATCTAAACGCCGGGTTAACCTTCTCATAGGGTGTAACACTAGAGGCCAGATATGCGACACCGGTTGGCACGGATGCATTATTGGGCGCATACATTACCCTAAACTCATCAAAATGAGTATGGCCAAAAAACTGGCCCTTAATTGTCTGATTATATCGTTGAACAATCCGTAGATAATTGTGAACAAATTGTGATATACACTGTGTATTGTCGGGCGGTATGTGACCAATAATATGGACCGACTGACCACTAGCCTCAGCTGCGGCCAACTCCCTGACCAACCACTTCAACTGTTGACCAAGGTCGTTTGGGTTATACATCAGCCAAAAGTTAATACGGGCGCAATAATTAGTGTTTAACACAACCACCTTGAACAATTTGGACACCTGCCTTGCATAACACCCGTACTTACGGAACATCTGGTGATACTCTTCAGGTATCCATTGTGACCACTGGGCCAACAGTTCCCGGTATAGCCAGTTATTAGACAACAAACCCTTGATATCGGGCGGCGGGAACTGATTAACGGGAAGTCCCTCGTGATTGCCCACCACTGGAAACACTAGTCTTCCGGGCGCTATATATGTGCTGATCAGTGATGTCAGGGCTCGGGAACCGTTGACAATGGTATCTCTGGTGGTGTTCCAGACATCGTGTGCTGTGATATCGCCCGTCCAGATCACGTACTGGTAGTGGTCGGCCGGAAACGTGGCGTTGATATACGACATGAGCTTTTCAATGGTATACTTTGGCGAATCGCAAGCCTGATAGTCGCCCCAATAGCCAGCTGTGGTCTTACCCTTTGCACTGCTGGCCCGACAGCACAGGGGTTCGCCGCAGTCACTGTGCGCGCCCGGGCTATAGTAGGGGTCAATGTGCAGGTCCGACAGGTGTAGCATACGGTAGGTTTGAGAGTCAGTGTTGACCACTGGGACAGCGGTGTAGTTGGTGTCCAACTCTATCAGCCATTCGTGTCGGTCGGCACAGGGTTTAGACAGGCATTCAGCGCCTATAAGAGTGGCGCACAGTTGGCTCTTGGTCAAATTTGTGTGCCTCAGTATGTAGTAGAGTTGTTCCGAGAATAGGTCGGACAGCCCGGAGCACACCCTCCTGTCCTCAAACCGGAACGACTCGCACACTCCGGCCATCAAGTAATTAAGTTCACCCACAGAATAGACGGACAGTTTTGCTAACGACATAACCGTTTCGCACGAGTAACACGTGAACGCGTTTTTCACCCCATGCCTGATGTTATCGTACACCTGATGGGATATTAATGGGGTTTAATCATTTATAATGGTAGTAATTGTTTTACTTTTAATTCATAATTAAAACTAATAATAAAGGTTGTTATTGTAAACTTTATGGTGTGTTTTAAACT